ACACAAGTTTATCTTTCTAAATACTGAATCATATTATTATTGTTATGAACTAAATATAAAATTACCCTAAATTATTGAACTTAAAACTACTAATTTAAATGCAAAAGAATATAAAAAATCACAAACTCTTTCAGTTCAGAGTGCTAGGCCTAATTCATGTAAAAACCTTGTACTTGCCACTCGATAACTTTTAACCCTAACAACCGTGGATCAACTTCTTTCCTAAAAAAATATATCTATTTTGAGCTGATTTTTCAATATAATGATTAATATAAATATACATACTATACAGCATGACTTAAGCTACTATAGAAAAATAATAAAAGTCACATACATACCATGCAGTTTTTCCAGAAGTAAGTTTCTAAGGCTTATAAAAAGTACTATTGACCAATACTAAATACAACCTCTACATAAAACGACAGTTACAATAATAAGCACCACCCACATTCACATTGTAAAATCCAGAGAACAACGTTTCGTCATGTGCTTTGCTTATCATCCTATGATTTGTCAAACGTGGAATAATATGGTACTGAAATTGACACCTTTAACTAGGATTGGCTAAAAGTTTTACAACTGTGGTTTAACATGCCCAGATGCTGTTTTATAAAGAAAACAGACTAGAAAAAGGTTTAGATACCAATGATAGATGGCAGAACCAGTTCTGAAGTGAAAGGAAAAAATTTTTTTAATTTTGTAAAAAATTTTCTTCTTAGAGGACGCTTATTTATAGTCTCAAACATATTTTTGGATTTTTTTATTAAATTTCTCTTTAAACTTCATTAAATAAAATAATTTTGTACAAATAATTGTATGTTATGCTACTATTTACAAAAATAAAAGATAAATTTTCTATAATTTTTGCAATTCACAAATGTGATTTTGCCCTCATGATAAGACAAAATGACTACGGCAGGTAACGGGTTAAGTATCGTCACTGTGAGAAGGAAAAACTCGAGAATTATCAGTATCACCCTTCTGGTATGGATAGGTTCAATCCATATCAACACTAATTTCTGAAATGGAGTTCAGATTATAAAAATATTTTAAGATAATCTTTTACAGATGCCGTTTTATAAATTGAAATTACTAGAATATATTTCTTATAAACGTAGTATTTTTTGCTTAAATTTTAGATTAGAGCGCTTAGATCATCTTGCACAGAAATTCAAACACAAGGCTGATAATCATGAAGACTGGACAGAGGGAAAAGAAGAAATGCTAGAAAGTGAAGATTTTAGAAATTGTCGACTGAATGAAGTGAAAGTAAGTAGTGGATAAAATTATTAAACACCTTGCTTCTTGTGGTATGATGTAATTTGGTTTGTGTATAGATTTTCTGAATATAAGACTAACAAGTTTCTTCCTTTTTTGTTTTATCAATCTTATAGCTCTAGTGTCTCAATATGGCTGTAAAAATAATAGTTCATATTGTGGTAGTTAAAACATGTTCTATCTGTACTTACATTTTAACTAATCTTTTGCCCCCCAGTAGCACAGCGGTGTGTCTGCGGACTTACAGCGCTAGAAACCGGGTTTTGATACCAATGGTGGGCAGAGCACAGATAGCCCATTGTGTAGCTTTGTGCTTAATTACAAACAAACAATAACTAATCTTTCAAAACTTAATACTGTTCTTAATTCAGATCTCTTACAAAACCTGTCAACTGTATATGTGAGATTAATAATAGTTTAAGAATAAGAGATTATTTAAGAATAATTTCAAATTGATTTGTAAGAGTTGTATAAAAAACAAAGTAGTCGAAATAGTGCTCAAAAGTGAATAACATGACACTTTAGAATATTTCTCTTCCCTCTGATTCTGTCTGTCTTCAATGTCTCAAGGCTGCAGTATCGGATCTTTTTGCTGAACATGCCATCGAGAGGGTGTATGCCCTTCTTCAGGTTTGTCCTCTCATCTCTTTGTGGTCCTTAAGAAGACCCAGAGACTAGCATTTGGGGATCGACATATCATTCCAGTTGGAGAACTTCTTATCTCTCTGGTGGTCTTTTTCACCCAGTCTGTGGATGGCCAAGGTCAACATCTTGGACACCTTTCTACACATCCAGATTGCTCTGTCCTCCAGACGTTTCTACCATTCATCCATTGAAATCGAGTCTTCCAATTCTGTTCTCTTTCCTCTGACATATCACTGAAACCTTCTGTGAATATTCTAGATAAAGAAATTTCCCACTATTATCACCTGTTCAATTCTTTGCTGGAAGAAAAGGAAGAACTACAAAAATTTACAAAGAGAATCAATACATTCTTTCTTAAAAAGAATAACAAAACTCAGCTTCATACCAATAACACCAATTCAAAAAAAACATTCTGTCAGCATTCTTTCGAATCCTCTTTATTATCTTAAAGAAACTACCAAAGCACGAAGCAATCTACCAGAAAATATAAACATCCCCTTATCTCACAATGAATAGCTTAAAAAAACACTTCATCCTCTAATATGCTAAAGCCTTCTCAAAGTAACAAATCTGTTGAAAAATGACAGTGACCTCAAAATTCGAACAGGTAACAATGAACACTCCCCACATATCTCCAACATTGTTAATCTTTCAGATATAACTCTCTCAGGAGCAGAACTCGGTCTCCTTAGTAAAGGTCTTGACTTCTGCCCAAGTAAGAGCTATGTTAATGAGCCTGAACTTTTTTCTGACTTGCATGAATTATCTAGAAAACTAAGACTTCATAACTTGTTTCACAACAAACTCCACCCTACTGAACTTCAAAGAAAAGTCTTTATGGACACCTCCACCAAACAGAGAATCACGTTTAAAGAGTTATATTAAGGCAGTAGAAAATGACATAATACAGACCTTCAAATCTTCCAAGCAATGTCATAATAATAATATTAATCAAAGTGAAAGAACTGCTCTAAACAATATTAAATAGAACAACAATATCATAATAAAGCCAGCAGACGAGGGTGGGGGCTATTGTTATTCTTAACAAAGATTACTATATCACAGAATCTAACTGGCAACTAAAGACACATGATCCTACAACTCAGTTTATTAAGACCATTGCTGATAAAGTTAAATAACTTCTCCAAAACAATAAAATAAACAAAGAGACCTATAAGTGTTTGATACCCAGACAAACTTTTCCTGGTAGATTTTATCTCTTACCAAAAATACACAAACCAAGCAATCCTGGCCAACTCGTAATTTCTAACTTAAACATGGCTACTAAAAAGCTGTTCACTTTTGCCAACACATAAAATGTATTCCATAAAGGATACTACTCACTTTCTTAATATCATAGAAGATATTAATACTAACAGACAGTTGCCACCTGACAGTCTTCTTTGCACAATGGATGTTTCTTCCCTCTACACTAATATTTCACATGATGAAGGACTAGAAACTCTAAAGTCTGCATTAAACCTTTCTAACCCATCAGAATCTCAAACAGTAACTGATCTTGTCAGCCTGGTTTTGACTCTGAACGACTTCGAATTCAATAACGAACATTACCTAAGGTTAATGGTACTACAGTGGGTACCAAAATGGCTCCCAATTATGCCAACATTTTTATGGGTCATATTGAAAACCAACTGTCTTTTTAAACTAGCCCTGTAAAACCTGATATATGGAAATGTTACAAAGACGACACATTTTTCATTTGGACAGCAGGTCTTGAATCACTTAAAGAATTTATCTCATATAGAAACTCCATTCACAAAACAATCAAGTTTACCTTTGATTACTCGCCTACCCAAATTAACTTTCTTGACATCGCTGTCTTTTTAAAGGATTGAACTTTACACACCGTCTTGTACAAAAAACCTACAAACAAACCACAATACCTTCACTATAACAGTTGTCACCACACTCACACAAAATGGAAGATTACCTACAGTCAAGTTCTTAGAATAAAGAAAATATGCTCAGATGAAACAGACTACAGAAAATACATCAAGGATTTAAAACAAACGATGTTACAAAGAGGACATAAAAATACCGAAATCGACAGACAGATTGAAAAGGCTAACAACACTCAGTGGAAAAACATTCTAAAGTTTGAAATAGATTTCCTCTTATTATTACCTATCACTTTAAACTCAGAAACATTTCATGAATTCTGAAAAAAACATTTTCATCTTCTACAACTGAATAATTGCCTAAAACAGATATTTCCTGAAGTTCCTGTTGTCTTCTTCTGAAAAACCAGAACTCCAAAAGATATTCTTCACACAAAATTGAATTACATCCTGCCAAAAAATTGTTGTCAACCATGAAATAAGGCTCATTGTCAAACCTGCAAGTTCATAAAAACTACTGACTCATTTTCTGACAAGAATTCACTTGTGGAACACAAAACACCATTTACCTTATACAGTGTAAAAAATGCAATCACCAGCATGTAGGACATACACAAACAACTCTTAGAGAACATTTCAACAACCATAAATCTTCTGTTAACACCAAAAAAGATCTCACTGTTGGTCAACACTTTAACCAACCCTGTCATTCCATTAACAATGTTACTCTCATCAGTATTGAAACAGGATTCAAAACTAAAGCTGATAGAGAAATAAAAGAAGCTTATTAGATCACTAATCCAATCACTGATCAACCTTTTGGAATTAATCTAGATCCTGTAATCAGTGATCTCCGATCATTGGTTTCATCTCTGTCAGAAAAATAATATTTACTCTTATATATTCATATATTCAAGCTTTTTCTCATGACCACACAATATTTGGTACATCTGAATGTTTTCTTCAACTCTTGTCTCAACCAGGTTCAGCCTTCTTCTCATTCATTGTGACAGGTTCTTTCACTTTTGGGGATTCTGGCTTCCCTGTAGTCCCCATTCCTTTGGGGCATGCACACATGCACCTCCTCCATCGGACCTTGCAAGACCAATGGATTTCTTCTTGGGATCTGTTTTTTTCAATTGTGATTCTACCTTCCCTGCTGTTCGAGAATTATCTTTTTAGTTAGACCATGCCAATACTACATCTGGCATTCCTTTACCAACACCTCCAATCCAGATCTCCATCTCTGCACCAGTGATTCTCTCTTTGGTTGGGTCATATCTCTGAATGACAACATTTTGTCAAGCGATTGACAAAAGTTCACTCCACATTATTTTGCTCAAACTTCTCACTGTTTCTTGGGCATATTCCAATTTCCTACCTCTTTTGATCGATCACTTGTTCCAAGGCTATTTGCTTGCAGGCATTGGACCTCCTCTTCTGTACTCATTCTGATCAAACCTGTCTTGTCGCTTGTCATGTGCCAGGGGCTATGAGCCTTGTTGTAAAATGCCTTTTTTTGGCTGTACCACATTCTACCCAGGGAGTGATCCCTCCACACCCAGGTCTTTCATTGGGATTTCTCTCAGTTGAGCATGCCTCTGATGGACACCTTTGCCACCCCTTTCAACTCAAAGCTTCCTCTTTTCTGGTCCCCTGTTTCTCATCCTTTTTTGCTGCTGTCAGCCAGACCTGGTCTCAACGTTTTCTATATGCCTATCCTCCTCCCTCAGGTCCTTGCCTTGATTACCAACTCTCCTTGTCACATCCTTCTGCTGGTGCCTCTTTGGTTAGCTCAGCTTTAGTTTTCTTTGCTCAGCATCCAGAACCTCTTTCCTCTACCTAATGTCCCTTCTCTATTGCTTCAATTTCATACATCCCTTTTTCATCGCGGGATATGTCAGTCTGGATTCTCAAATTGTGTAGCTTTCTTCTTGTTCCATTCCTATTGTCCTTTCACTCTGTCTGCCAAAGACAGTGGCAAGGCTTTCATCATTGGTCGATCTTCCACTTCTTTCCTCCTGGCCATCCTATTGTGAACCACCTTTTTGCCTTCTTTACTTGACTTCATTTTGCCTTTCCCAATACCACACGATATTTTATCCCATGTCTTCTCCACTCTATTCTGCTCCTTCCTTCTTTACTTAACTCCCATGCCGGGCTGGGACCTTAATGTTGGTTTGCATGCTCTCACATGTGGCCCATTTGAGCCATTGGCTTCTTACTCAGTGTACCACTTTTCTCTCAAACGTATTTCCTCCTTTTTCTCAATTGTGGTCACCATCATTTGGATGTCTGTGTTATTGATGCTTCTTGCACCCTTTTCCACCACTTATACTCTCATCTACCCAGACTGGTCTTTCCTTCCTAAGACTTCTGCCACTCAAGAAAGTAACTGTACTTCCTCTCCTATCTCTCTCTCGCCTCTATGATCATTCAGATCCAGATCGGTTCCTATATCTTGTTTGGGCTGTTTGGTGTTACTTA